AGCTGAAGTGCGCTTTGCAGGACATAGAGACGCCAGCGCGATCACTTGCATTTCTTTTCACTGGATACGCCATCATTTTTGCTCATAAAGGTAAGAGTAATACATCATTCGTAACTGTAAAGGGTCTACTTTTATTTGTGTGCACTCACAATATCAACAAAACGTTGTGCTTTTATAAAATAAAGAAATCAAACATGATGCGCTTTCTGCCGTCTCGTCTTGAACAGGAGCGCTTCACAAAAATGAACCGAAACTCAGCGAATACATGCCTCACAGACATGATAAATATATCTATAGAAAGCTTTAAATTACTGCTTAACGAAATAAAACAAATCAAAAACTCTTTCATTATGATCATAATCCGTAAAGATGCACTACTCTCTAAAGTCGCGTCTAATGAAGAGATGGCGAGTCAGGATCGACAACTTCATCCTTGCGACACCGACTCAGAAAACACTAGTTTATTAGTAAATAATTAAAATATCTCCTTACTGTTTCCCCCTGACGCATTTATGGTAATTACTTTTGCCGATGCTTTGCGGCAAACTTAAGCCTATTGCGTGCATTTGAACGCAGATATCTTCAGCTGCGCTGACGGCAAGCATACTGCTGCTGCTGGACACTAAACACTGACCGCGTCTGAACTATGACGTGAAAATTGCCCCGAAGCCCAGCCCGAGGGGCGTAAAAAAAGTCGGGCTGAAATGCAGGGCTCTAGCTCTGATCTAGCACACAGAAAACGATTTGACTGAAAATTTATCAGAAGAGATGAAAGAAAGATAGTGGTCATCTACGCAATTCGGAAAAAGAGGCGGCTTTTCTGCATTAGGTATGTTTTTTTTATTTTATTTTTTTTACTCTTTGTACAGCAGTTATTGTTCATTCTAAATAAATTTTTAAATGTAGAATATGTGTTACATAAATACATGAAATGTAAAACATACAAAAAAGTGCTCGTGGCTCGTCTGCCAATGGGTGCCCCCCCACGCATTAAAGTTAAACTCCGCCTATGATTGTGCTGTTACTCCTTTCGAGCCGAAGTTCACAAAATTGGGTGTTATTTATGGGGAGTATAATAATTTATTCATTTCAATGAATGTAATCGATTAGATATCATAATATTTAGGCTATAATATTATACATCAGGTTGGTTTGTATTGCTGACATAATATGTAAATGATATGCGTGCGGCCCGCGAGACTTGCACTTGGACCATAGTGCGGCCCGGTGGAAAAAAAGGTTGAGAACCACTGATCTAACCCATATTTTTTAGTATGATGCTAAATACTAACAAGTTGTCATTATCACTGGATGTATTAAGCTCATTTCCTTAAATTAATTGTGATTTAACAATGCATGCTGTCAAAATTGTTCCTCACTTTAGTTATGATTTCTCAGAAGACCAGAATAACACTAGTACTACTATATATTTATCATTCACACTTAAACTGACCTATCTTTATTGATTTGATTGCCGCTGTCCCTCTTGTGAAAGACCATGGTGTAGCGTGCAACTTCCGGGGATGGACGGATTATTGACATTTTCTGCAGTGTCACCCTGAAAAAGATGGTTCTGTTAAAATCCTTAACAATGAGAAGACAGCAATGTTCTAACATGGACGATACTACATCAGAAATTGAAATCTCTCTTCACTAAAAAAAACATATGCCCCTTCGTATTACATATATTATGTCCTTTTTTAATGTTTTAAAGATTAGCCATTTTGTGTAAGTCACCTACAGGTACTTGTGCACATCCTAAACCATATCGTCCTAAGTTTCTCTTACCTTATTCTCAGGTCGTCGTCCTCTCCACCCCAGCCCCAGTAGGAGTTTGGAAAGCCATTCACCTTGTGAAACTGATCTTTTGTCATGGCCGAAACACCTCCAAAGTAACCTTTGTATCTGAGTCTGGCCAAAAGGTGACAAATGTCTTTAACAATTATTTAAAAAGAGCTATAGTATACCATTTTACAAAATAAATTCAAGAAATTACTTTGGGTATGTCATATTCCGATTAGCTGAATGGCAATGGAAAATGGAGAAGCTCCAAAACTACTAAAACTGTTGAATGCCAGGAACAAGCTACTTAAATAATTTTAGGATTTAAGTTTTACATGCAGAACAAAAACTGTTGCATATAGGGGAAGACCATCTCCATAATGCTTGATACAACCCGCCTGCAAACTACCTTAAAAACAGTGTGCAACAGTTATTCACAATTAGAATATGTGCAGTTTGTAATGGCAGAAAACTGTATCAAATTACTTTGGGTATAAACAAAAATATTTTCAAAACTTACACCACTGTGATGTGGAATTTTTGTAAGTTTGTAAGTTCAGTAGTAACATTTAGTAAAGTAGTCTTGAAATGCATGCAGCTCCTACTTGCAGACTAAAGCAAAATATATAAAGAATTGTCGCAAAATGTATAAAGAATTGATTTCACCAGTAAAATATATTTAAAAGGGTCATATGATGCTGCTAAAAAGAACATTATTTGGTGTAATGAAATGTGTTTATGTGGTTTAAGGTAAAAAAAACACATTATTTTCCACATACTGTACATTATTGTTTCTCCTCTATGCCCCGCCTTTCTGAAACGCATACATTTTTTACAAAGCTCATCGGGCTGAAAAGCGAGGTGTGCTCTGATTGGCCAGTTATCCAGTGCATTGTGATTGGCCGAATACCTCAAGCGTGAGACGGAAATGTTACGCCCCTCACCATACTGTGATGACGCCCTGTCAGGCCGGAGCGATGATTCAAAAACATGAAAACCCATTATAAACGAGGCATTTAGTCTTTGCAACTTTACAGATCTTCTTTATGCACCAAGAGCTTGTAACACTCCAAAGAGAAAGGAAAAATTAAAATCGCATCATATGACCCCTTTAAATAAGTACATTAATTTACTGGCTTTGCACTTTAATATTTTGAAAGAATGCAATCACTGATAATACTATTATAATTATTATCTAATTACTACATCACTTTTGCCCAGATTTTGCCCCGATATACAGTCTGGATGAGTCAACACTAGTTGGGTTGACAGATTTAAAAGAAAACCATGTATGACGGGCACAGGCTTTGTTATTTAAAACGCAAAACATTTGAACCACTAAATCAGACTACTGAAAAATGTAGTTAAACTAGTAGTGTCACTGCTTTTAGTTACTCCCAGCACTTGTTGCTTTAGTATTTTAGAGAGAAACAGTACTGCTAATTGATTTGCGTGTTGCACGTCTAACCCGGATGTTGTCTGTTCCAAGAATGTATTGTAATTTGCCCTGGATAAGAACGTGTTTGTTCAATGAAGAAGACTGCATTACTCACTTGTACCCAGTGGAATTTCTCCCCACTACCAAGTGCTTAGGCTGATCCTCACACATGTATAAATTATGATCATTCTCAGGAACTAGATCAACATCATGGAAGATGAAACAGTCCCAGCTGTGGTCTTTCAGAGCTTCGAGGTAGCCAACATTTAATAACTTTGCCCTGTTAAATGTAGCATCTCCAGCCTACAAGACAAACAGACACATATATTATACACACACAGTAAAGGCTTGCAAATCCTGAAGATCACCAGGTCTTTTCCAACACTCATTTCATGACTTCAAAGATCAAAAAGAACAAATTATTTTTTAGGTGTATAGGTGTTACAGTGACATGAAGAGCTGGAGAGATGTTATTTGATGGTTTTTGTAATGTTTATTTTCTTAAAAAAGAAAATAATTGTTATTATAAGATCTGAATCTGACCTTAACAGTTTTTACCGACAGAACAACTGGCAGAACTGGCAAAGCTTAAATGGGAACACCTTCATAACACGAAAAGAAAAGCATGCATATCTTTCATAACACCTTGAGCCCACCATTTTTACTTTACCTAACCGTACATTTCCTCAAAATGAAAATTGTACAACTTAAAATATTCATTTTACCAACATCAGCTGGTGGCACTTTTCTGCAGTGTGTTGTTGAAGGTGTCATAGGAAAAAATGTTGTTGATTTTTGTTTTATAGTTAATTGTAAAATGAAAACAATTGAGAAATACTGAACACTTACACTAAAATACTCATAATCGCCCACATTTACTTATCAAAAATGGTAATTCAGTAGTCAGAAACTTGGCTTGCTCTGTCACTGTAATAATGAGAAGGAAATAATATACTATTGTTGAAGACAACAATTCTCGCTTTCAAATTGTTTTTATATAACTAAAGAACAAAAAGTGTGTCCTTCCAAATGAACTCAATGTTAGGGATCAGAGTTTAATATTTGCAGTCATTTCAGTTTGGTCTTACCAGTTTTTGCAGAATAGACTGTTTGGTGAATGTGTAACAATGTATTGCAGGCTTTGCAAACAGGCTGTTATTTAAGGAAAGGCAATGCAAACTATAATGGAACCCAGAGCAAAGTCATAAGCAAACACTGCTATGCATTTCACATATGAAGAGGGTGTTTATGTTTAAGTCTTAAAGGTATAGAAGCAATAAAAGTCATTTTTTTAATGTCAGATAGAAACTAGGAAATGCTCATAAAAAAAACTAAATTATGTTTGTGGTCCAAGAAACCCTTACTAACATAAAAAAATGAAGACTGGACCCTCTAAAAATGGCACCAAATTCTAGCAACAAGGATTATATGACTGCAAAAACTCCTGCCAGGGCTAATGGGAGTCTTGCCCACCTGGTGAATGACATAGATGGCGTAGTGAAGCTGCTGCCTCTGTAAGAACGGGTGAAGGTGGTAGAGGAGGTAGAGCAGGTGCTTTTCTCTGTTTCTGTGAGGGATAAGGATGGCCACACTCTGCCTGGCCGTACAGTCAGAGGGGTTATATTGACCCTCCACGACCTCCCCGTTTTCACTCTCTACCTGCCCTATCTTCAGCGAGGGATCAAATGACAGCTTGAAAGCGCCTCCTGTGGAGAAGAACAGTCAGAAATAAATAAACACACATGTACACAGGCCCACAAGTAAGTGAAAGGCCCACGGACCAGGTGCAGTCCTTAAATACAGCACCAGCTGGGGCCCACATTAATTACAGGGCCCCATCTTTGGAAACAAGCCTGAATTAGCAAGCAGCTGTGGAAGGAAAAAAACAGTGATGTGTAAACATTGACATTCACATAGAGGTGGTTGTGAGATTCCCACGTTTCTCTGTGTTGCAGTTTCATGGTTCAGATCTTTATCCAGTATTATCAGCTCATTTTGCAAAGACATGTTTTAAATGTTATTGTTAGGTTTAAAAGTTTATAAAATATATACAGTGGGTACGGAAAGTATTCAGACCCCCTTAAAATGAAAATCTTATTTACGTCATGACTCCAAGTCATTTGTGAACTTATTGCCTGCTGAAAAATGGTGAGCTCTTTCAAATGCTTCAGTTCTAAAAAGTTTTGCCCCGTGTGATGTCTATTTTTATATTGTATGTTTATGCTATCACCACACATTTGCACATTTCTATTTTTCTTCATTTTTCAATACTTCATGGTACATTTTGTTATATGCTGGAATTAAGAGCAACTATAGTAGATTGTTAGGTAACGCTTTAGATTAGGCAACACTATTCACTGTTAGCTAGTTGCTTCATTAGCATGCATATTACTAGCATATTGGCTGATTATTACTACTTATAAAGCACATATTAATGCCTTATTCTGCATGACCATATTTTAGATCCCTTAACTCTACCCAGTACCTAAACAACTACCTTACTTTGTCAATAAGCAGCGAATTAGGAGCATATTGAGGGAAAACTCAGTGTTCCCTAATCTAAAGTGTTACCATTAAATAGCTTAATGATCAAATAGATATATGGAAGTTTGAAGGAGTACAATTTTCTAATAAAACATTTGCATATTTGCACATCAGTAGATGATCATATCTTCATCTAGGCTACTAATATTCCTTATTGTAGGATGAGTATATTAAAGGGGTCATATGATGCGATTTCAGTTTTTCCTTTCTCTTTGGAGTGTTACAAGCTCTTGGTGCATAAAGAAGATCTGTAAAGTTGCAAAGACTAAAGTCTCAAATCCAAAGGGATATTCTTTATAAAAGTTATAAGTCAGCCACACCTACCTAAAACAGCTCATTCGAACACGCCCCCACATATCTACCTCACTACGTGGGAAGATTTGCATAACGCCGCCCAAATGTTCACGCAAAGAAGGAAGACGTAACTTTTATTCTCACTGTATTATTATTG